TTTTTTTAGATGGGGGGGGGGGGGGGGGGGGGAGGGGCGTGCTCACGGCTGGGTGCTGGTCCCCGGTGCCACGCCGGTGCCACCCCAGTGCCCTTGTCTGTGTTGCAGCACCTACGGGGAGCTGACGAACTGCACTGTGCTGATCGCTGAGAGGCTCGACTGCTACTGGCCCAACCGGCTGGGGGGGGCGGGCTTCGTGGGCATTCACAAAGGCCATCCACAAGCAGTACTTCAGGAACTGCTCCCCCTCCGGCCGGGCGCTGCACGACCCCCCCAACAGCATCCTCTGCCCCTTCATCCTGCTGCCCATCCTCGTCACCCTGCTGATGACCGCGCTGGTGGTGTGGAGGAGCAAACGCCGCGAGGGCATCGTGTAGGGGCGACCTGCCGCCGGCGCAGGGGACAGACGTGGGGCCCCCCATCCTGAAAGCACCCATTTTTTTGGGAAGACCCTGACAGAGAAGCATCTGGGGGGGCAGAGAGGGTAACGCCACCACTTCTCCCTCGCTGGTACCCTCCGCACCGTGCACGTGCTGCTCACCCGGCGGTTTCCAAATAAATACATCATTTAAGACTCGGTTGTTTGGCAATACAGGATGGTGGTGGCCGGCGAGGCTGCTGCGGGCTGCCCTGGCAGCGGGGAGCCCTCTCGGGGTACCTGGGAGCACGGCTCACCTCGGGCATCGGCATTGCCGCATCTTTCCCACCTGCTTCCCTCCCGGCACCCTGCAGCATTGCATTTTGCCAAAGATGAAAATTTTTAAAAAGTAAGAAAGAAAAGGGGGTGGGGGCTTGAAATCCTGCTGGCCCCGCAGTGCCAGCACGGTGTTGGGAGGTGCCGGTGGGCGTAACCGCGAGGCCGGCGGCTCTGTGTGCAACCCTGGGTGATGAAACTGTCACGGCTTTCTCTTTTTGTCCTTTTTTTTTTCACACCAGGAAAGACATCTCCTCCCCTGGCCCCCAGCGCAAGGCCGAGGCCTGCATGGGGTGGGTTTTGCCTGGGAGATGGGGAGCAATGGGTGCAAACTGGCGGTGGGAGCTGGTGGCACCGGTGGTGGCCTTGGTGGTGCCCTGGGCTAATGAGCAATGGGAATAAGGTGCTTTTCCTACATAAATAAATAAATACATAAATAAACCAGGTGCCCGTCTCTGGTGCGGATCCTCGGCGTTCGGCCCCTCCATGAACGCTGGGGTCCAGGTGGGTCAAGGGGCCCCCCAGACGCCCCCCTTGCTGCCCTGAAGGAGCCCCTGTGATTCCAGATACTGCCCCCAGTAGTGTTGACCCCCATCCCATGGGCACCCTTTAGGGTGGCACTGGGGGTCCTGGAGGTGGGGGGGTGGGGTGGGAGGGCTGAGTGAGTGGGGTCTGCCCCTCCGAGGCAGCAGGGTCCCTGGAGTGTCCCAGGTCGGGTCCCTCAGGGGGGACCGGGCAGCATCTAGGATGAGGGGGGACCCCCGACCCCACCGCTGGTCTCTGTTGTCCCCAACAGCTCCGGACCCTCCAGATCCCCTTCAGGGCCTCGTCAACTCAAGGAGAGGTCCCTCAGGGCGACCTAGCTGCTGTCTCCCTGCCTTGGCCTTCATGTTTCCAAAAAACCCCAAAATTGTACTTGCCAGGCAGCGGGACACCCAGACATCTGCCTGGACCAGCCCAGGCTGCCTGGTCCCAACTCCTGTTCCTCTTTTAGGACGCTGCAGCTTTTTTTTTCCTTTGCCATTTGATATTTGGGGCTTTTTTTCAGGGGCAGTCAAAACAATTAAGAAAAAAAAAATAATCAGCATTATTTGATGGGGAGCACCCAGGGCTCCGGATACTATGGTCCCTGCAGCCAGAAGAGCTGAAGAGGCTTTCTGGAAGATGGCTACCTGCCCAAGATAAAAATAAATTTAAAAAAAAAAGCGCAAGAAAAAAGCAGCACATTGTTCCAGAAGCTGCATGGGAGTTACAAAAGCCGATTCCTGCACAAGATCTATTTGCTGATGAACCTCCATCCACTGACCAGCCGCAGGGGAAAGTGACACTTTGGTGACATATAGGATACTTTGCCTTCTGCCATCGCAGGGGGTCCACGGGAGTGCAGGATGGCGGTGAGCTCCCGGTGAGATTTCTGTTTAAGTATTTTGGCCACGTGCGGTGAACCGTGCCCCCCTGTAGCACCCCAGTTTAGTGCTTTGGTGAGAGGCAGAAATCGAGGGTGGCTGGATGGAGTATAGATTAGTTGCATCTATATAAATATATATGTAGATATATATAAATATACATATAAAAATAAATATATTTGTGTATATATAAAAAGAACCCAGCTCCTCCTGTTCAGGAAAAAATAATTCAGCTTATTTTCCTGGACTGTGAGCTGATGGGCTCTTCTAGGATGAAGATAAGGTGTAACATTTTTTGCCCTGTGTATTCTGATGCTTAAGCCTTCTTGTACAGTATTTAATAGTATCCCAGCTTGAATATTCTGCTCATCTCCTCTAGGTAAGCAAAAACACGGTGAAGGGATTATACAGCAGGACTGTACTGGGAGGTGGGGATTGGCTTTGATGACTGCATCTCTACCTCTGTGCTCACACAGGCTGCCGATACCCCAAACCTGCTGCACGCTCTGACACAGCTTTTCCGGGCTCTCTGTAGCAGCCCCCCGCATTTGCTCTGCCCTGGGTACATCTGCAGTGGCTTCCAGGCAAGAGTGGGGAGCCAGGCGTGGGTGACAGCCCAAGAAACAGCGACTTTTACCCCTTTGGCTGAAGGATGGAAGGTGATAACGGTACCAGGGTGCTGCTACAGCAAGGAACACTCAGCTTCGTTAAAGCAAACTGGTTCAGCGTTTTCAGCTTGAAAATAACAGAATCCTTCTGATTCAATATGCAAAAACTGGACGTATTTTCCAACCTTTCTATTTTTGCGAGTGCTTTATTCCATACCTTTCCTGACATTACTATTTTGGCAGCAAAGATCTCTCAACCACAGTTGCTGCTTAAAATAACATGCTGATCCATGTTTCATTTTAAATAGACACAGTGGCAATATTATCTGAAGATGAAGCTCACGATAAGGCTCTCCTCCTGCACGCCAATCTCTGCATTTCACTTCCCTGCTTTCCTAGACCTCCAGCAATGCATACAGGAGCCTGTGAAGCTGTAAGGGAAAAGGCACAGGGAAAACTTAACAAGCAAGGCTGCACCATGCTGAAAAGTTGCAGCCCAGCTCTGCCACGCTAATGATGGAGGCAGTTTTGGTTTCCTTCAGTGTCTGCAGAGGAAAGAATGAAGTATAATCATTCGGGGGGATAAAAAACCAACAGTCAATGTCCAAGCGTCACACACACACTTGCTCCGTATGAAACCACACGAACATTTATTTCTATGGTTTATCTATTTATAAAAGCTTGAATCAGTTCCATTGCACCTCCTCCTCTGCGCGATCCCACAGGCAAAATGCATTTCAGTCTCTGAGGCTATGCCAATGCCCCCCAGCTCGCAGCCCCGGGCATCGCCTGGGTCAGCAGGTGAGCAGCGGGGAGCTCTGGCACACAACAGGCAGCAGACTCCTCACGGCCTTCACTCTGAAGTGATTCCTGAGGTACGTGCTACTCTCTTCTGAAGGATCTCTGCTTGTACATACTCTGTGTTTGATATACAGCTACTTACAGAAAAGGCAATTATAGCATCATATCCTTTCAAATTACCAGAAAAAGCCAGGCGCACACGAGTGTTTAAAAGAGAGTGCAGTGCGTTATTATTCTCAGCTGCATTATTAGTCATTCACTTTCAGTGCGGAAGTTTGAAGAACACAATTAGGTGTTCTCCAGGTAACGGTGCTTGAATTTACGTTCATCAGATCAAACAGCGTCTGATGCTCCCTCACCACGTCCAGATCAAAAGCCAAAGGCAGATTTCTTAAAAAAAATCTCCCTTTCATTAAGTTTTCACAGAAATATATAATATATATAATATATATATAATTTTACTAATTCACACAATGAATAGAAACAAAAAAATACTGTAGCCCAAACAGGAGCTGAAAATAACAATGTAAAAATTCCAAATGTGTGACAAAAATGTACTTACATTAAGTATCATCAAGAATTTCAAATCAGACGTAGAATTTCATTTAGCACTTGCATTCTGGCAAGCTCTAAGCCTTAGTTGAATGACTCTTGGAAAAAAGCTTGTATTGTTTCTGCTCATCAAAGGCAACAGTATTGTGATTTGGTTCACAGGAGACCATTTTATTGCCAACTTAAAGTGTTCCAAAAACACACCACCTTTTCTGTTTGGTTTTTTTTTTTTCCTTTCCCCCTCCAAACTAGGCAAGAGTTAAAAAAAGTGTAATTACAATTTCAATAGTGATTTCTTTTAACTTCTCAAGCATATCTCATCAACAGGATATACAGTACAGTTCAGAAGAGTAAACATTTTTAAAAGTAAGCAAACAACTTTTTCAACCAACATACACAATTTCTTGCTGTATTTATGCTGAACTCTCCTTTTAACATGGACAAGTTATGAAGTTAGTTTTCTTCTTCAGTACAACATGGACACAGGACTAGTACAATCCGGGCTGGTTTTGTTGTTGTTGAAGTTAAGGACAACTCTAGTGTGGAAGCCATGGTCCTGCCATCCATCTCCCTTCATCATCTCGCATAGCGCTTAATGTAATCTTCAACTTTATTCCGAAAGTCCTCCTAGAGGAAAGCACAGTCAGAATTACCCCAATGATGTCAGAGAGGGACTCACGTAGGACTACAGCGGTGGTGGATTCCCACATAAGCACCGGCAGGGTCAAATTTCTATCAAGTGAAAGGCCCGCCGCTCTCCCCGCGACCCAGTACATGTTTCTGACGCAGTGTATGAGAATTGAGGCGACTGCTCGAGTCCTTGCAAGCAGATGTCCATGCTCCACCGGAGATCTCCTCTGGGGACTGAACTGAACAAAGAGTTTGCCATCACCAGCTATCAACGTAGGTACAAACAGACTGTGTCTGACAGGTCACCGGTGCCAGGAGGCCGGGTCCCAGCTAGCGGCACAGCAAAAATCTGGCCATGGTTTTAGAGAAGGAAGGGAAGCTGTCCTTACCGGATAAGAGAGGTAAGGCTACGGCAGGAACTGTTACAAAAGCTGCGTGCCCTAAGGCAGCTCTGTCCCAAATACTCATTCTGGCCTCCCCCTGGTAACTGCACAATATTGCAGCTAGCACATAATTAAGCACATAATCAATCACTGCTTTTTGTTTTGGTTAGTTATTATAGCCTAGAGAATTAAAAATTCATCATTCAAGTCACTAGTTTGTTAAAGTGGTTCAGAGGGAACACGCTTACACCTGTAGCCCTCCACAGAAAACCTACGGGGCTATTATATAACCTCTGTATCTATGGAAAAGCACACACTTCTGGTAGTCTATCTTTATAAAGCACAGGGATGCTGAGCGAGAGAAATTCTGACATACTTTCCTCATTTGATACTTGTCCAAGCCGGGATGTCAGACAGATGCTACATTCCTGTAATGTTATTCTGAGTCTGAACCTTGCCCCACATGCTTAAATATGTTCAACACAAACACACCAAGTGGCCTGTGCTCCAGATTCAAGTGGGGGGTTCACAGCAAAGTGATTCTTGCTTGATTTCCAGCTCCCAGTTTTATGTGCTGGCTAGAATATAAAAAACCAACACACACAACAGATGAAGAGGTTTTGAACGCAGTGTCCCGGTGTGGTGGAGTTGCCTGAAAAACAGGGGCCATGGAAGCACTGAAATCCTCTGCCCACCAAGTCAAGGCTCTGCTTTTACCAGGAAGAGCACAAAGTCTCGCTGCCATGACCTGAGGTATCGCAGCAAGGCACGCTCCTGCTTTAAACAAAGAGGAGAGAGCAGCTCCAGGTTTGCAGATACATAAAATGATGCCCTTTGAACGCACACTGAGTGTTCTGGTACAGTCCATTCAGCAAAGAGCTAAATAAAGTGAAGTTTACAGACAGAGCAGCAGTTTATGAATTTAATGCCCCATGTAAATAATGGCCGTTCATTGTTAAGGACTTTAATATTGGGTCTTTTTTACTTTTTTGATAACAGTAGATAAAAGCTGAGCACCACAATATGCACCATGACTTTGTACTAATACTGCTAAGAAGGTTTGA